TATTTTCAAAACTCATGTTTGGCCATAAATTTTGCTCATATTTTGGCCAAATTCCAAATCCCAAATCCCAAATTTCAAATCCCAAAATCAGCTATTGAGCTGATTTATATACATGTTTTTCCAAAATAAAGTTGGAAAATATGTTTTGAAAACGTATGTCCAAACACATTTTCATCTTCAAACCAAACTTCACCCAAATCAGATTTTTCAAAATAAATTTGAAATCTATGGCCAAACGCTAGCTTAGAACACTAAACTAATGGGGACAAAATTTTAAAAGTAGCCCCAAAAGAGGCCCCCCTAAAGCAAAAACGATAAAAATGTGAAGCTTTGGTGTATCCTTTTTATGTGGGGCTAAAAGATTTTTTCTATGGGAAAAATAGGGAGTGAGAGAATCAAAGATTTTCTTTTTTATAAAGTCAAAAAAGTGATTTAGACTTTTCAGAAATAAAAGAGACTAAAAAGGAAAATAGCAGTGATGACAAAAAGAAATCAGTACTATTGGACCAGTCCACCAACTCATAAATATCATTAATTTCATTTGATACTATAGTACAAATAATCCATGATACATTTTAATCAATACCTACCACCTTGCCCTATCAGAATATGAAGGTCAAATATATTTACAGCCCATTCAATTTGACATTATTTTTCATTTTGGCACTCTATCTCTATCTTATTTCATTTTGGCTTTCCAATTGTATTTCTTATGTTCCACTTTAACACAAAAGCTAAAATCAATTCAAAAACATATAGCGCGTGTGTATACACAAATCTGAGGTGTAATAAATATCCAATTAAATGTTGTCACCTGATTTTTTCATCCATATCAAACGGGTCAATACTAAAATACCTGAACCCGACCATATTTTCTGTGGGTTTATTTCATCTAAATGGGCCAGGTATGAAATCGGCAGATGAAAAGTTTGGAACTTAGAGAATGAAGATGGGGCGACAGTGGATGAAAAAATACGGTCGGGTTCGGGTATTTTAGTATTGACCCATTTGACATGGATGAAAAAAATCAGGTGGCAACATTTAATTGGATATTTATTACACCTCATATTTTTGTATACACATGCGCTATATTTTTTGCACTGGTTTCAGCTTTTGTGTTAAAGTGGGACATAAGAAATAGAGTTGAAGGACCAAAATGGAACATATAAAATAGAGTTGTAGGGCCAAAAATGGAACAAGGCAAAGATAGAGTGCCAAAATAAAAAATGATGCCAAATTGAATTGGTTGTATATGTATTTGGCCGAATATGAACGTAGACAAAAAATCCTTTAGTAATTTAAGATACTTACCTTTAAAGATCAAGCAAAAAATTCTATCTAATGATGTGTATAATGATGATTAGCCAAATAAAGTCATAAAAAGTTTTTTAAAAGTAAAAGATAATAGTCCACATCATAAAAGATTCGTTTATCTACTCAATCATTTGATAGTGGCATCATTGTGTGATTATTAAAAATCATATTACCCTTATTTCTCTTATCCTCCAATAAAATTTCATCAGTTGTTACTAATTGACATATACTAGGTTTAAATATACAATAAAAGTTAAAAATGCTATACAGAAAATAAAATAAATTATCATCCTAGTAAAAGGGTCACATGCATTAACTACTTCAACTCCCATGTGGACCATTATAAAAGAGTCAGAAATACTTATTCAGATTTAAATTTATATCAAATCAATAAATATATAATATACACTTTTTTCATACCTAATTGAGTGTGAGTGAATTTTTTTTTTTTTATGAAAAAGATTCTTTGCTAATTATCAATTATTTTAGATGGTCCACATGGTAACGATTGCTATCCTAATTTTGTCCCTTGACAGGTGGACTTATCCTGGACCACCCACATGTCCATTGGGTTTTTCTCTTATAATCGTGGCGTTCGAGTTAGTATGCATTTATTTAACTATTTTTATGAAATATCTATTATGTCTTATCGGCACAAGATATCAAATAACTTTGTCCAACATATCTATTGGCTTTATAATAAAAAAATATTAGAGGTTGGACTTAAATGGTTAATGAAGAATTAGTTTCACATTAAGCCACTTTACAACATGCTATGTTATGTAAAAGTTCAAGTTATGTGCCCCAAAAATGTGTACATTTTCACGTCATCAGGTTAAGTTGACCGACCTATAATAATAAATAATCGTATATGAAATTCCACTGGATATTATATATACCACATTTACAAGATTTGAAATTGTATGAACCCTAGTAGCTCAAGTAAAATCACGACTGCCTTCCCAGCCGTTGAAAGACTGAACGAGAACGGTAAGGGGCGCACAAACAAAGAATGTTGTTGTGCGGGGATGCGATTCGCCAAGCTGGTGCAAAGAAATCTCTATCTAAACATAATGTTAACCTCTAATTACTCTTTTACCTACTTCACCTTTAAATGCTGCGTTTTTTTCCAACTTTAACAGCATATATTCAGGCCCCTACTCATACGTACTAATTTAGTAGAAACCACACCAACCAAAAACTTAAATATCAACAAATATCACAATTAATGCCATTAATTGAAGTGAAAAAGATAAGGCAAGAAATTATAAGAAAACTTACCAAGAGACCAATAGGGCATAGGAGCAGGTCTGCCTATAAATTCAGTATATTGATCAACAACAGCAAGAGGTGTGGGACCAGCAAAGAAGTAAAAGTCCAAAATACCCCCAATCACTTTATATGTCAAAGAATTCCCTCTGTAAAATACATCCATTCCATTGCTATTTAGCAATAAAACTGCATGTGCATAACCTTCACCATTCAAATTCCTTAAATCCATATACATTGGATGTGAACCATACAAATCCATATTCAAATTAATTGCTGATTGGTCAGTTGTATATAAAGTGTAAGGGTCATTTGGGTAAATTTTAATACCATGGGGTTGTGTATTTTCACCTAAACCATATAAAGAAGCATCTTTGGGCAATTTTGTTGATATTTCAAGATATTGGTCTTTAAATACCAAATTATTATATGGGTCTGAATCATCTGAACTTGAATTGAAAAGGGTTTGTCCATTTGATTTTCTTTTCACAGAAAAACCAAAAGGGTCAGTGGTAAAGCTGAAAATTAATTCATTTCCTGAATATTCTGAGACTCCTAGTGGAAATGGATTATTCTTTCTTGAAACACCAATTGTTTGTTTCAATAATGGAGCTTTTTCCCTTGGTAATAAATTGTATGGAACTTCCCATCTTTCCTTCTCTGCATCTGTTATTTGAATCCTCAACCGATTATCTGTCTCATGCCTGTAATAATAATCACAAAATTTAACATAAAGATTCAATTTTTATCAAGAATTAGAGCATAAAGATTCAACATTATCAGAATTAGGTGTATCAAGGGCAGTCGGTGCACTAAACGGCCGGACCACAAAATTTTATTGTACGCAAACTTACCCTGCATTTCTGCGAGAGGCTGTTTTCACGACTCTTTATCAAGAATTAGTGCATAAAGATTCAACTTTATCAAGAATTAATATATAAAGATTCAACTTTATCAAGAATTAGGTGTATAAAGGGCAGTCTGGTATACTAAACTCCTGCTATGCGCGGGATCCGGAAAGGCTATTGTACGTAGCTTTACCATGCATTAGTGCAAGAGGCTGTTTTTACGGCTATTTATCAAGAATTAGGTGTATAATCAGAAAACTGTAAGCAAAATACTTATATTTAAGTAGAAAGAGGAATGGGCCCATCATTCATTGAGCTGAACATGGCAGGAGCTAATGAATGAGCTACGAGTTCGAGTTCGGGCGAATCCAATAACTTTTATTTTTTCTACCCTATATTTGTATTATAAATTTCATTAAATATACATAAATATTTCATTTCGAACGCAATAATTAAGACGAACTATGAGTTCATGACAAATTCAGAACTCATAAACTGTGTTCTACTGGCCCTCGAGTATTTCTCGATTATAGAACAGAATAATAAGAAGAATGTTAAGTGTTTGAATACTTACTTGACATAGAGCTGCAAGTATGGAATATCAGGGCCATAAATATTGTTCTTTTTCTTGACTTTGAGATGACCAATGAGGCCACCATCTGGTGATTCTTCAATGGCTATTAATCTATAGCCTTTGCCAATCTTGACTGGAGTTGTGTACACTAAATTTACACAACAAATGCATATAGTCAAGACTAACAAGAAATGGAATAATGAGGAAGAAGAGAAAAAATTCATGTTTTTTTGGAAAGAATGAAGAGTGTGAAGCCTTAGTTTGGCACTTGGCAAGAGTAACTGTTAGGGGTTTTGTGGATTTATATAATAGGCAAAAGAAAAGATTTAAGGAGTAAAGAGGTAGTCATAGAGTACATGTGAATGAAGAGAAGATTGATATCATCTCACCAATCTATCTTCTCTTTGCCCATGTGACTTATGATGTTCCTTTGGTCCCACTTCTTTGAAAAATCCTTTTTAGTTTTCCTTTGGTTATATTCCCATCACTGGCGTTAATTGATGTAAGTTTTGAGGTTATGGGAATAGATGTTCTGGGTCGAGGGTATGTTGAAAATGGCTATTTATCACATGGGGTAAGATTTGCGTTACACCTTACTCTATCTAGATCTCGCTCGGTATTTTAAAACGCGTTTTCGGTGCGTGCCCTAGGACGAGGCGCACCAAAAACGCTCTGAGGTGATGGTGTGGAGCGTTTGAGGTGCATTCTTTTAGTGAGGCGTAAGCCCTAGAGACTTTTTTCAAATTAAAAAATTTATTGAATAAGTCCTTCATATAATACTCAAATTTTCAAAAGTCAGCTTGGATTACTCAAAAGTTTTAAAAAATAACTGAAATGTATTAAATTTAAAAGTCACGACTTTTTTTATTGATTGAAAATCTTATTCATGGTCTTTCCCAATTCTTTATCCTGTCCGCTAGTTTGCTAATATCTCCCAAAACGCAACGAATATTAATTTTTTATGTAAAGTGAAAAACTTTGATTTCTTTCTTAAACATATATATAGAGAAGAAGGATTTAGCAACTGCTATGATTTACTACCAAGGAAATTGCACTTGAAATGAATATCAAACCCGAATTTACGTAAGAAACGTAGTGATATATAGCAAGTAACAATTTGAAT